TAAGTGTTTGGTTTCTTTTTCTTTTAGATCCTGCAAGTGAGATCATACAATAATCCTCCGAGGGTCCACCCATGTTGTCACAAATGATAGGATTTTCTTTTTTATGACTGAATAATTCATCCATCATTGTACAATTATGTTTCCATGTCTTGGCTATTATAAATAATGCTGCTGTGAACATGGGGTAGCAGATAATCTTTTCAACAGTGTTTTTGTTTTCCTTGGATGTATTTCAAAAGATGAAATTGCTGCATCATATGGTAATGCACCTATTTTTAATTTTTTGAGGAACTGCCATCTGGCTGTACCAGTTTACATTCCCACCAACAGTGCACAAGGGTTCCCTTTATTCCATATCCTTGCCAACACTTTTTATGTCTTGTCTTTTGTTGGTAGCCATTCTAATAGGCATGAAGTGATACTTCATTGTAGTTTTAATTTGCATTTCTGTAATGATTAGTGCTGCTGAGCACTTGATGTACCTGTTGGCCGTTTGTAGATCTTCTTTGGAAAATGTCTATTCTGTTCCTTTGCCCATTTTTAAATTTGGTTTTTGCTATTGAGTTGTATGCATTTGTTTTTTGGTTTCAGTTTGTGAGAGAGAGCACACACGTGAGCAGGGGAGGGGCAGAGAGAGAGGCAGAGAGAGAATCCCAAGCAGGCTCCCCAGATGTAGGGCTCAATCTCACCGTAAGATCATGACCTGAGCCAAAATCAAGAGCTCGAGGTTTAACCAACTGAGCCACACAGGCATCCCAAGTTGTATGAGTTCTTTAAGTATTTTGGATATTAACCCCTCATCAGATCTCTAATTTGCAAATTTTTTTCCCATTCCAGAAGACTTTTAGTTTGATGTAGTTCCACTTGTTTTTTATTTTGCTGCTTATACTACTTTAGGTGTCCTATCTTTCCTGTTTTCTAACGTATGCATTTATTGCTATGAACTTCCATCTTAGAACTTCTTTTTGCTACATCCTATAATTTTGATATGTTGTATTTCCTTTTCCATCTGAAGATTTTTAAAAAGTTCTCCTTTGATTTCTTCTTTGACCTTTTAGTTGTTCAGTAGCATGTTGTTTAATCTCCAGATGTTTGTGAACTGATTGTCCGTTTTCTTCTTGTAATTGCTTTCTAAATTTCATACCATTGTGGTCAGAAAAGATGCCTGATAGGATTCAGTTTTCTAACTTAAGACTTGTTTGGTGCCCTAACATGTGATTGGTCCTGGAGTATGTTCTTGTATGCTTAAGAAGAATGTATATTCTGTTGCTTTGGGATAGAATATTCTGTAAATGTCTGTTATCTAGTCAAAAGTGTGGAATTTAAGCATCTTTATATGCTCCTCTGTTGGATACATAAATACTTAGAAGTGTTCATAAACAGTATATAACATTTCCATCATTATATAACAGTCGCCTTTGTCTCGTTACTGTCTTTGTCTTAAAAGTTTGTTTTGTTTGATAAAAGTATAGCTACCACAGCTTTCTTTTGGTTTCCATTTGTGTGAAATGCCTTTTTCTATCCCTTCACTTTTATTCTGCGTGGACAGTGTCCCTAAACCTAAAGTGAGTCTCTATTTAGAGTCAGTGTGTAGTTGTGTTTTCTTTTTAATCCATTCAGCCACTCTGTGTCTTTTGATTGGAAAATTTACTCCATTTATATTTAAAGTAATTATTAATAGGTGTCAACTCAGTGTTGCCATTTGGTTAGTTTTCTGGCTGTTTTGTAATACCTCTGTTCCTTCTCTTGCTTTCTTTGTGATTTGATGATTTTCTTTAAGGGTATGCTTACACTTCTTTATTTTTTGTGTATTGTAGGTTTCTCTTCCTGATCCTATACGTTGTTTTTGATACCATAATTTACATCTTTTCATCTTGTGTATCCAGTGACAAATTATTGTAGTTCTTTTTGCTACTTCTTTTAACCTTTATGCCAGATTTACACGTGCTTTACCCACCACTGTCACAATGTTGGACTTTCCTGAATTATATATTTACTCTTACCAGTGAGATTTTACTTTTATATGCTTTCCTGTTAGTAAATAGCACCCTTTTATTTCTTTTTGAAGAAGCGCCTTTAAAATTTCTTTTAAGGCTGTTCTGGTGTTGGTGAACTGCTTCAGCTTTTGCTTATTTGAAAACTACTTCTCCAGTTCCAAAGGACAGTTTTGCCGAGTAAAATAGTTTTCCTTGGCCATTTTTTTCTTTCAGCATTTTGAATATATTGTGCCATTCCCTTCTGGCCTGCAAACCTTCTCCTGAAAAATCTAAGGATAGTCATATGGGGGTTCCCTGGTAAATAACAAGTTGTTTTTCTCTTGCTGATTTTAAGATTCTCTCAAATTAAATTTGACAGTTTAGTTATAATGTGTCTTAGAGTGGGATCTTTGGATTCATCTTATTTGAAAGTTTCTGGGCTCCCTGAATCTGGGTGTCGGTTTCCTTTACCCAGGTTAGGGGAGTTTTCAGCCATTATTTCTTTGAATTAGCTTTCTGCCTTTTTCTCTCTCTCCTCCTTCTGGGACCTCTATAGTGTGAATATTGCTCCACTTGATGGTGTCCCACAAATCCCTTAAGCTGTCTTCACTCTTTTTCATTCTTTTTCTTTTTGCTCATCTGTTTGGATAAGTTCCACTGTCCTGTCTTTGAGTTTGGTAATTATTTTTTCTGCTTCCTCTAGTTTGCTGTTGAACCCCTGTATGGAATTTTCAGTTTAGTTACTGTATTTTTCAATAATGTGACTTTGGTTTGGTACTTCCGTATATTATCTATCTCTGTTGAAATTCTCACTTTCACTTGTGAAATTGTTCTCCTGACCTTGTGGAGGCTCTTTATGCCCATTATTTTTAAGTTTTCATCAGGTAAATCCCTGTTTTTGTTTCATTAAGGTCTGAGTTTTGTCTTATTCTTTTGTTTACAACATACTCTTTTTGTTCATTTTCCTGTGTCAGTCTCTGTGCACTAGGTAACACCCACCTCTCCCAGGCTTTAAGGAGTCATCTTGTGTAGGAGAGCACTCATCATTCAGCCCGTCCCTAGTTCTTGATTGTGCCAAACTTTTGTGATTGTCAGACTGCCGTCTTCCTTCTTAATGGCTCCCAGAAGATGAGGTTGGGGTTTTTTTTCTCATTCACTTGAGGTGGAGAAGTCATTCAGCTAGTTTCTGGATTCCTTTCAGAGGGAATTGTTCCATCTATGTAGCTGTAAATTCAGTGCATCCTGGGGAGGTGGTGAATTTAGGAGCCTCTAAATTGCCATCTTAAACTAGAACCTTCTCATCCCTTTTTTTATACTTGTAACAGCTCATATTTATAAATGCTATTGTTTTTAAATTTATATAGATACCATATTATTCTGTAACTTTTTTCTCTTGTTTTGGAAATCTGTGTTGATACAGATACATAGTTAAAATGAATGAACTGTAAGTTCATATGATATACTCCATTTGTATGAATATATATAGATCACCCTTTTCCTCTATTTCAGCACATGTAGATTGTTTCTACTTTTCCTAACTACAGTTTTGCAATGAACAACCTATAATGTGCAAAGTTTCTCTAGGATCTCCAGGCCAGGTTGTAAAGCATGGAACTCTTGATCTCAGTGTCATGAGTTCGAGCCCCATGTAGAGGGTAGAGTTTACTTTTTTAAAGAAAGTTTCTCTGGGATCTACATCTAGTAGAATTTCTTTTTACCCCAAAATTACTTTCTTCCCTTGGTTATTTCATCTTCCCCCCCCACCCCCCACTTAAACGTTCTCAAGTAATCTCTAGGTAAGCCTCACCTAGTAAGCTACATGTTTCGCTTGCTATACACATACACATCTATCCTATTTTGAAAACTCATAGTAAGTTACAATGCTATTTTAATTGGATCTTCAGTTTCTAAAGAATACATTGTGGACATAGTAAGATGTCATGAAAGCATCATTTAAAGTAAATTGTGGGGGTGTCTGGGTGGCTCAGTTGGTTGAGCATCTGACTTCAGCTCAGGTCATGATTTCATGGCTCAGCTCATGAGTTTGAGCCTTGCATCAGGCTCTGTGGTGACGGCTCAGAGCCTGGAGCCTGATTCAAATTCTTTCTTTGTCTCTGTCTCTCTCTGCACCTCCCCTGCTCACTCACTCTCTCAAAATATAAACAAACATTAAAAAAAAATTAAAAAGTAAATTGTGCAAGTCAGTTTTTCTTAATATCTTTTTTTTTTAAATTCCGAATATCAGTGCCTGACATGGGGCTTGAAGTCACGACCCTGAGATCAAGAGTCATGTGCCCCACTGACTGAGGCAGCCAGGCACGCATGCCCTTAATACCTTACATTCAAAGTGAATTTAAAAGATTTGAATTAAAAAACTGAAAAAAATAAAAGCTTAGGGAAATTTTAGTTCTTTTGGAAGGTTTATTTAGCAAGATACCACACTAGTTTCCTTGATCTTAGAATTACTCACTTTTCTGAAAAGGCATGGAGTCCCCCTCTACACAACTATCAGATGCCCTAGCACAACTATACACAGCGGAGCATTAAAAACATTTGTGAAGAGAAGTGATTTGTTAGATGTCTTAGGCAGTGTGCAATTGTTAGGAGGGCTAAATTACTTAGTAGGGAAAAATTGGGACTTACTTACAAAATGCTGACCTACATTAACTTTGTCTTCTAAGCATGCTGCTTCGTCGGGATGAGATGTATATATACTTACGTCCTGCCTCCTCAGGACCGAGATGGGTATAAAGGGATAGCAGACATGCAGCTTGGATGGTGTAACATTTTCTTCCTCCACCACCACTTCCTTCCACTTCTTTTAGGCTGTATACATTTATGTGCCTTTATCTGTTTACTTGGTATGACTAAACATATAAATAAATATGAATTTGTTACAGGAGAGAGTATGTTTAGCACATTCACAGTCCTTCTTTTTTGGATTTGGTAAAAGTCAACTTAGGTTTCCACCTTAATATTTCTGGCTATCAGGAACTAATGGTGCATGTCTCTTCCGTGTTATAGGAGTTCCTATGCATAGAAGGCCACCCTACAGATCTCATTCGCTCTCTCCATCTCCAGTTAACAAAAACACACAGTTCCATATGGAGAGAAAACGGCAGCGAAAGCCTAAAGAGGCAGATATCCACCAATTCCAAGCAAAGGTACATCCCATCTCTTGATTCCTATTGAGTAGCAGGCAATACCCTTTACCCTCAACCAAGGGCTGCAGTGAACATGCTTCATTTGCATTTAATATTCTTGAACTAAGTGAATGATAGGAAATGATGTGCCAAAGCTTTTATGTCTCCCACTAGGCACCATAAAACTTGTGATACTCTAAGAAAACTAACCTTGTCACATATAATCCAGCACTCCAGTGGATTCAGAAAGAGTAGATCCATGTGGGTTGATATTTGCAGAGTGCTTCAGAGAGGATGAGAATTTGAGGTGGGTTAAAAGTGATAGGCCTGCTGAGTTACAGATAGGATTTAAGTGCTCAAGACAGGAATGAGAGGAGGTGGTTAGAATTCAACATGGAGAATGCAGGAGTACCAAGGAAGACTTCTGCTATGGAACAGGGAGTTTGAAATGCAGCATAAATTTAGAACACTTACATTGTTTGCTATAGTATATTTTATAATTAGTGAAAAACTAAAATGCATTCATATGTCTTATAATGACATGTAACTTCAATTCAGCATGTAACTTCCACTCAAGGGACTATCAAAATAATTACAAAATCTGAGAACAAAAAAGTGTATTATGTAAAACTTTATGTCCCAATTACATGTCTGTTAAATAATGTACATTTAGGATAGTGGAGTCTGCAAGGAACTTAGACGAATTTTGTTCCTTATATTTTCATTTGTATATGTTTTTAATAATTATAATATATGGCTTTTTCTCCTCTAGGCAATAACGGAAGCATTTGAAAGGGAGCTAAGAAGAAATAAAGTTCAAGAGAATATTGGATCTCTAGGAATAAATAATGATGAGGAAACAGTGGGTAAAAGTCTCTACTGTAATAAATGCAATTTGATCAGATCAGTGCGAAGTACAGAGATGATCTTTTTAAAAGGAAAAAAGAACAGGGCCTTACTCATTAGCTCCTTGGAAAAAGGATTTCACGAAGCAGGATTTTCTCTTATTTATAGGGTAGCCAACTTGCTAAAATGTGGCAAGACATGGTATCAGAGAATACTAGCATTTTTCCTTCCTGCCCCAAACTGCCATCAGTTCTTATGTGGTTCTGTTGTTTAGCAGTTGACCAGTAGTTTAAAAGCTAGTTGAGGCTGACAGGTTAAAGGGGAGTTAGATAATCTCAGTTGTTCTATGCCTGATGAGAAGAAACCCAAAGCATAAATTTTCATTGCCTTTCAAAAGGATGGTTACAGAAACTAAGTGAAAACAGGAAAAATGCTTATGCTGAAATGTTCGTGAACAAAACAGGATATAAAATACATTATGATTGCAACTAAATGTTATTTAAGCACTTTTTTAATCTACATGGAAAAAGTTGTCAAGCAAGTACATCGAAGTATTACTGGTGGTTGTATTTAGGGTGTGGGACTCTGGTGACTATGAAACTCAAAAAAGATTCAGCGATTTTTCAAATTCCAAGAGGTGCCAGAAGCCAAAAGATGCTTTTAACTTAGAGTAGACGAACACTAACCAGATTTTAGAAATGTAAAGTACGACAGTTTGGTTGGGGATTGGTTAGCTATTTTTATCAATATGTAATACTTACAATAATATATGAACGTTATTAGACTTCTATCTTATTTCTATCCTGTTTTATGTCTGCTTCCAAGGAGAAAATATACAGAGAAGCTGTTCATAAAGGAACTCCAACAAAACGTAGTCAGCCCTGGAAGACTTACTCTAGAAAGACCACAACTCCAAGTCCAAGAGGTGGCTTGCCAAAGCCAAATAAAGCAGTTCCAAGTAAGAACCACAAAATTGTGCTTCACGGAAAACTGGCATCCTTTGAAAGTGTGTGCTACATTCCAAGGGACACAGCACTGAAAACTTCACATCTGCCAGTTAGCTGGAGAAAGCGCCCTCTTTTATCACTGCCATATGCTTGATTTCTGTAGAGAGAGATAAAACTCTTAATACCTTAGGGAGGCCTATACATTGGTACCAGAGACAGGGTAGGCCTACTACCTGTTGCTGCAGCTTCAGCCTCACTCTGCTCACTCACACTTTAATTGCCTTATCTTTGTTTCTGGCAAGTCGGTAGAACCAAAGAGAAGGTCCAAAGCAAGCAGATGGCCCATCCAGCTCCTGTTACATCGACAGTTGGTGCCAGTGAGCGTTAGAGTCCTGTTAAAAGGAAAACAAAGTCATGTGAAATGCCAGGGTTCAGTTTCAAACACTGCTGGCCTTCTGACTACATCCCATCAGACACAGACTTTGCTGCCCAGTAGGGCCGGGAAGCGTGTGCGTGACCACACACACAGCGTCCGCCCTAGTCGCTGAGTCAGCCAAGCAGTCAGGACGGACTTCATGAGAACCGTGTGTCATCAGTCAGATCTCTTGGGCTTATTTTCATCCTTTCTGGTAGTTGGTGTGCTGGGATCAGAGAAGGAGGGCAAAAGTTAATGACGTACTTCTGGAAGTATTCTTTTCAGGATCTGAACTGCATCACTTAGATAAGCTTTGCTCTACCAGGAAGGTAGAATGAGAGTTACTGTTAAAAGCTGTCAGCAAATCTCTCAGGTGAAGGGGGGTTTGGGTTTTTTTGTTTTGTTTTTTTTACCTTGCAGTGAAAGTGAATGAACACAGCCTCTTGCCCCTCATGCTGGAGCAGTTTCCATTTCTCTATGTTTCTGGTGAAACACTAAGCAAAATGTGGAAACAGCAAATTACACAGGTTGAACAGCTCAGAAAAGATGCATGTGGAGAAAATCGATCAAAGAAGAAACTCCAGGATGAAGTAAGTTACCTGTCAATTTCAGGCATAGGACTAGAAAGGGGAAAGGGGAAGAGCTAATCTTTTAGAATCTAGTGAATAGTATTATAACCTCCTTCCTTCCTTTCCCCCCTAAAGATAGAAGAAGCCTTAAAAAAGCATGACCTCCTTACTGTACTTGTCAAGAAAGAATATGAACATAACAAGAGACTGGTATGTTAAGAGCAAGTTGAATATTATAATTTTGACTTTATAAGTTATATTAATTACTTGGATTTGTACAGCTGGGTGATAGTCCCACAGACTTACCTTTAACACTTGCCTGTGGAAGCATCTAGGGCTGTAACCAAAACTGATGAAGGGGGAAGGTGCTAGTATAGACAGTTTCATTTGGTCTTTATAGTAACATAATGCAGATGTTTTCTTTGAGATGATTACACTTGGTCCCACTGTGATCCACGGCGCACCATCCTCTGTTGAGTATAATGGAGTGGACAGAGGTCAAAGACAGTATGCCAGAGGAGGAGATTTTAAAACTCTTGGTTGAGATAAGCAGTCCTAAACAGTTCCAGGGAAAGAAAGGGAAGCCATCTGAAAACAAGTATGAGTCTGAACACTGAGTTGAGGGCTTTATGTAGATGACCTTATTTCATCCTCTCTGCTTTGCAAGATATAGTCTAATTTCCTTAGTTTTGATGTAAATAATCTTGGTAACAAGTTTTGCTCAAAAGTCAGAATGCCTTTTTTCTACTGTTTTTAACCTGGCATCTGAGTGGGGCTTAGGTGACCCCCTGGTGGACATGGGGAGATGCGATCCTCAGTTCCACCTGGATCACCTGCGGCAGTGGGGGCTCGTTGGGATGGCCCTTCAGACTGGTGATGAACCTACCAAAGGCTGGAAGGCTTCTGGGGGCCAATAGTTTTTCAGAACCTATGCCCAGGTGATAGGCCCCTGGCTCCGCAGGCCTGGCTTACAAGGACCTCCTGGTGCAGAACAGGACAGTTAAGAATGCCAGAGTCTGTCTTCCTCTTGTCCTTAAACCTCTTTTTCCCTTTCCCTTTCCTAGCAAGACTTCAAGGACCGCATTCATAGGCAGAGGTTGACACAGTCAAAGATAAAGGAAAATCGGCAGCAGATTGTCCGTGCCCGAAAATACTACGATGAGTACAGAGTTCAGTTGCGTGCGAAAATGATGAGAATGAGGACCCGGGAAGAAATGGTAAATACGGCTTTTTATCCAACCCCTGTCAAAAGGATGAATTTTACCTGTTACCTTTCAGGATGACCTTCTTTGTGACTCCTGTCCCAATTTGAATCCATAACCCAAATGCAAATCCTCAAGTGCTGGCTACGAAAGTTTCTTCTTACCTGTGTGGTGCCTCCCAGTCTGTTCTCAGTCTCCACTGCCCTCGTCTGAATGTGAGCCCTTCATTCCCTCTGTTCGGCACTTATCCTCCAGGACAATTGCTATAAGGGGTTTGCGAACGTGTTAGAAGGAACAGGAATCAAAGGTGTGACTAGATGAGCTGGATTCCACATAAAATCAGAAAAGGAGTGTAGGTTGTTGTCTTAAGCTGAAATGCTTAATATTTTGAGAGTACAAACTGGTAGTAAATTTCATCTCTAGAGTAAAACATCGAGGTAATTATAGTTGACTGGGCTGCTACTATTAGCATTACTAAATGATGCTGCTAAGGCTTTGAGAGGTTAAGTTGACTGACACCGCTGACTGATGAATGCATGGCCATAACGAAAGTGGGCATATCCAAATCCTTTGAATAATCTGTTTTCCTCTGGCTCAGATAACCACCTCACCCTCAGTTTTGCACATCTGTAAATGCGCCATTTGTTCCTTCTCTGGCTGGGGTTCTTCCCCTATGTACATGACTCCTTGAGAATTGTTTTCTGAGAGCAGTAAAGAATTCTGGGGATACAGGAAAGGATGCTGAACACCGCTGGTCATTAAGGAAGTACAAATCCAAACCACCATGGGAAACCTCTCACTAAAATGGCTAAAATAAAAAAGGTGTTGGCAAGGTTATGGAGAAGTTACAGCCCTCACGCAGGGCTGGCAGAATGGTGCGACCACCTTAGATAACAGTCTGGCAGTTCCTCAGGAGGTTGAACACAGAGCTACTGTAGGACTCCGCAGTTTCACTCCTAGATACATATTCACGCAAATAACCTATAGCACCTTATTTATAATACCTGAAAAGAAGAAAGAAACTCCAGAGGCCTGTCGGCTGACGAATGGATAAACAAAATGTGATATACCATAGAATAGGATGTTATGTGGCAATAAAAAGGAATGAGGTATTGATACCTGCTACAATATAGATGAACCTTGAAAACATGCTAATAAGCGAAAGAAGCCACATACAAAAGGCCACATATTTTAGGATTCCACTTATATGAAATCTCCAGGGTATATAGACCTGGAAAGTACATTAGTGGTTGCAGGGAGTCGGGGGGGTGATGGAGGAGTGGCTGCTAATGGGTGTACGGTTTCTTTTTGGAATGATAAAAATGTCCTGAAGTTAGTGACGATGGTCGCACAAGTCTGAATATACAAAAACCTTCTGAATTGTACCTCTTCAAAGGGTGAATTTTATGGTATGTGGATCGTATCTCAACAAAGCTGTTACTTAAAAAGACTTTGTGAAATACAATCAGTGTAGCTGGACCAGCTGGACAAAATGTTTCTATTCCTGCATGAAAAGTTCAGCATTATTTTTCTAACAACAGATATTTAAGAAGTTGTTTGAAGAAGGTTTACAAATTCAAAAGCAAAGATTACGAGACCTAAGAAACTATGCCAAAGAAAAGCGAGCTGAACAAAAGAGACAGCACCAGAATGAACTGGACTCCATGGAGAACTACTATAAAGACCAGGTGGGCTCGCTGTCGCTTATTCACATCCTAATGTGCTTAATCCTGACCATGTTGTGTCAAAGATCAGCTTTGTATGTTTAATAAAAAGCCTCCATGTATCCATTCAGAACCTGTCCATACAGGTTGCACTGGTGATTCGCAGTAAGCTAGTACTTGACCACGGTACAGAATCTGCATTGCCCTGGTTCTGTTAAAGATTTTAAGGGGCACCTGGGTGGCTCAGTCGGTTAAGCATCTGACTTTGGCTCGGGTCTTGATCTCCCAGTTCGTGAGTTCAAACCTGCATTAGGCTCTCTGTACTGACAGCTCAGAGCCCACTTTGGATCCTCTGTCTCCCTCTCTGCTCTCCCCAGCTTGCACTCTCACTCCCTGTCTCTTCAGAAATAAACTTAAAATCTTTTTTTTTTTTTTTAAGTCTATGAACTTTCAATATAAGGATTGTTATATTTGGGCTATAGGTAAAACATTTGGTTTTTGTCCTCTCTATGAACAGTTTTCATTGCTGGCAGAAGCCATATCACAAGAACGCCAGGAACTCAAAGCCAGAGAGAGATCCCAGGCACAGGTAATAATTAATAGAAATCATTGATTTATAGTTTTCAGAACTAGAAAACAACTATAGTACATGTTTTAAGGGAAATGGAGAAGATCCATCTACGATCCAAAACATTTATCCTATGGTTAATCCGATAAATAGGATTTATCACGTGTTCCTTTTCCCTGTGAAGTCTCTGTAAGAGCTGCTGCTAATTCCTGCAGTTGCAGGGGCTGGAGGAGCTAGAAAGTGGCGAGGCTGTAACAAGAGTGGGGCCCGGACAAACGTGAACAGCAGGTGACGTGAGTTCTCTTGCAGACACTATATAAGGTGAAGAGGGAGCTGAGGTCGAAGATGGAGAAGGAGATTCAACAACTTCAGTGCATGATCACCCAGGATGACGACGATGCTTTCTTCCGGGAACTGGAAGCTGAGCGCTTCAGATCGCGCCTTCATCTGGCTTCTTTTCAGTACAGTAAAAATCCCTTCCCGTGAGACCAGATTTTGTAAGTGAAGTTTCTGGAGGACGTTACCAGGACAGAGCTAGAACTGAGCCAGTAGACACTCGAAACCAGGAGACTCCTTTTCAGATGCTTTACTTATACATTCATTCCAGTACTTTTTATGACATGATTTTTTTAAATAAAAATTTTCTTGAAGTACACTGCTGTGAATTTATAAGTTAAAAGGGGGGGGAGGGCAGGGAACAAAGGCACACACTCTTCATTAGTCATATTTGCACCGAAGCAGTTAGTTAATAGGCCTTGATTGAGCAGCAAGCTCCTGAAACCTATTGCTGTAGTTCGGTAAAAACAATACAAATCTCTAATTCAGAAAAGTGCTGTAAGTGTGGGCTCGTCATCAGCAGTGGGAGCTGGGGTTAAACCTGTAAAAGAGCATGTGTGTGTAGGTTTTTCTCCTGGTGGCTGGAAGGTGAGAATTTGTGGCTGTGGCTTCTGTTCGTTGTCAGGGGACGGCGTGAGAAGAGGCGGAGTGTGGAAAGCCAGAAGGCGTGTGCCTCGAAGGAGCCCTCGTGCCTGCAGGTAGGGAGTGGACTGCAGGTAGGCGCAGTGGACTGGAAGTAGCAAGTGCACAGCAAGCCTATTTCTGGTGTGGAGGAGGAGAAAACCCCACACCCAGCAGGAAGGCACCACACCTTCCGTGGGGAGGAAGGCTCCAGAGCAGTTGAAGACAGGGGGACTTTGCTGATCAGAGCCAGAGAATGGCACGGGACCCCAGGAAAGGACTGAAGGGGAGAAGAGAGGCTCCGGTTAGGGAACGTAGAGAGTAGCAATGGCGATGAACCACAACAGAGGCCCTGGGAGCATGATCCGTGGGATCCGCTGGTCTTGCAGACAGACATCCAGACAGCTGTGATCTACCAGGACAATGGAGTGAGTGCAGGTGAATGGAAAGGATCAGGGACGTGCACAAGACAAGGCTAGGTCTGAAAGGGCTACAACGTGAATTCTAAAAATGGTTATGAAGAGAAAAAATGAAAGTAGATCTGTTATCCACGATATATTTGAGTAAAATGAGCAAATGAAACTATACACCGTGATGCTATTTTACCTTAAAAGCTGTGGTATGGGTGGATCTCCCATATAATGGAGTATGTAGTTGACCTTCGGACAATGTGGAGATCACAGGTGCCAAGGCCCCGTGCAGTCAAAAATCCATGTATAACTTCTGACTCCCCAGAAACTTTACTACTAATAGCCTACTGCTGACCAGAAGCGTTACTGACAAAAATTAAGACATTTTGTATATGTATTATATACTGTATTCTTATAATAAACCTAGAGAAAAAAATATTAAAATACTATAGTATTTTATAGTACTATACGAAAAAATTCATGTATGAATGGACCCAGGTAGTTCAAGGGTCAACAACTATAACCAATAGAGACATCTGGAAGAATAGGCCCCAAACATTAATAGGTGTCACTCTGAGTGATTATACAAACTTTCATTCTGTGCTTAATGTACTTTAATACTATTTGAATTTGCTAAAACAAGTATAATGATACTTTTATTTTTAAATATTACATGTTTTAGGAGTACTCTTAAGTTGCTAGTTCTGCCAGCTCTTTACCAAGCTAAGAAATAAGTAGGAATAACCAAAAAGAATGGGTGAGGGAATTTAGCAGGAAAAGGATAGGACTGCTAAGCAAAGGTCAAAGAAGAGGGGAGGAGGACACATTCAAAGATGCCAACTTCTTTTCAAAAAACAGAAAGCAAATGAAGTGGTAACTCAGCAAGTAGAAGATGTTTCCATCCAAGTGCCTGTGGAGAGGGAAGAACGCAGGAAACGCTCCTGATCATGCATTTGAAAATGTACTTAGAACCGCGATATGATGTAGGAGTGGCGAGGGAAAGAGGCGGATTGGTGGAAGTTTATAAATCCTTAACTACCATAAAAGGAAACTAACCAGACGGTTTAAAATTAATGAGTAATATTAACATGCCACTTAGAAACATGGAAGAAACATCAGAGCTGACCGAATATTTGGGATTAATGCCATCTGGAAAGCAAGACTGGGGCCAGGGGGAGGGGCGATGAAGGTGGTTTTTCTTTTTTCTTTAAGGTTCTTAAGTGTATATGACAAACTTTGTATGTTTAGCTGTGTATATGCATTACTGGATGGTGGGGCGCTGGAGAATTAGCTGCCTCCTCTGAAAAACATGGGAAGGAAAAGGAAGAACCAGCGTTGAGGTCAGCCAAGAGAACAGAGCGTTAGTGAGGGGGCTGAGGATACAGGGAAAACTTACTTGCAATGGCAAGAAGCACCACAATAAAAAAATGAGAATGAGAAGGGCACAGCAGATAGAAGAGTGTCATTAAGAGAAATGACATAAACTACCAGAAGAATCCAAAATTGGGGCTAGAGCTGCAACTTAAAAGATCTGTTAAAATCACAATTCTAGACATGCTGAAAACCTGTTTTATCTGGCATTCTCAGCCATTCAAACCTTACCCAGCTAATTGGATTGATAGGACCAATTTCTTCTTGTCTTAAAAAAACATGAAACTCATCTGCCTTTAAAACTTTGCCCTCTGAACAAACCTGGAAGCATCATGCTCCCTGATTTCAAACTATATTACAAAGCTGTTAAAACAGTATGGTGTTGGCATAAAAACAGACACACAGATCAGTGGAACAGAATGAAGAGCCCAGAAATAAACCCACACATACGTGGTCAGTTCATTTACAACAAGTGAGCCAAGAATATATAGTGGGGAAAGGACCGTCGCTTCGACAAATGGTGTTGGGAAAACTGGACAGCTCCATGCAAAACAATACATACGCAAAAATTAACTCCAAATGGAGTAAAGACCTGAACGTAAGACCTGGAACCATAAAGCTCCTAGAGGAAACATGGGTGGTAAGCCCCTCGACATTGGTCTTGATTTTTTTTTGGCTTTGACACCAAAAGCAGAAATCAATTAAGCGGGACTACATCAAACTAAAAAGCTGCTTCTGCACAACAAAGGAAACCAACAAAAAGGCAACCTATTGAATGGGGGGATGTATTTGCAAATGAGATAAATCTGATAAGGGGTTAATATCCAAAATAGAGAAATTCATACAACTCAGTAGCAAAAAAACTATCCAAATAAAAAAAGGACAGAGGGGCTGAAAAGACATTTTGCCAAAGATGACACACAAAGGGCCAACAGGTACACGAAAAGGTGTTCAACTCTAATCAGGGAAATGCAAGTCAAAACCACCTCACACCTGTTAGGATGACTGTTACCAAAAAGAAGTGTGGGTGAGGATGTGGATTGAGAGGAAACCATTGTGCACTGTTGGTGGCAATGTAAAATGGCGCCGTCACTACAGAAAATAAGGAAGTTCCCCCCAAAATTAAAAATAGAATTACTGCATGGCCCAGCAACTCCCCTTCCAGGTATTCATCTGAAGAAATGAAAACACTACCTGGAAAAGATACACGCACCGCCTTGTTCCTTGCAGCTTTAACGATAGCCAAAATATGGAAACTTAAGTGTCAGTAAGAGAAAGTGTTTATTGAAACATAATGCAATATTATTCAGCCATTAAAAAAAAGGAAATCTTACTATCTACAACATGATGGGCCTCAAGGGTGTTCTGCTAAGTGAAATAGGTCAGAAATACAAATACCTAAAAACCAACGAAACGGAGCTCATAGAACCAGAAAAAAGGTTGGTGGTTGCCAGAGGTGGGGGGCAAAACGGGTGAAAGGAATCAAAAAGTACAAACTTCCAGTTATAAAATGAATTAAGCCGGGGTGCCTGAGTGGCTCAGTCGGTTAAGCGTCCGACTTCAGCTCAGGTCATGATCTCGCGGTTCACAGGTTCCAGCCCTGCGTCGGGCTCTGCTGACGCCTCGGAGCCTGGAGCCTGCTTCGAATTCTGTGTCCCCCTCTCTCTGCCCCTCCCCAACTCGTGCTCTGTCCCTCGCTTTCAAAAATAAAACATTTAGAAATTTTTTAAAAATGAATAAGCCACAGGGATTAATGTACAGCATGGCGACTATAGTTAATATTGTATTGCATATTTGAAAGTTGCTACTGGGTCTTAAAAGTTCTCACCACAAAAAAATTTGTATGTGGTGATGGATGTTATACTAGACGTTACCGTGGTGATCATTCCATATCTATACACACACCAAATCAGAAAGCTGTACAGCTGAACCTAACATTACGGGTCAGTTATACCTCAATTAAAGATAAAAAATACTTTGCCCGTCTGGTCTCGCTCCTGCACCTGGCCGCACCGGCATCGTCTCTGGGAGAAGTGAGCGTCTGAAAGGTGGAGTCTGATGTGCGTCTTCACTCCCAGTTCCTGTGTTGAAAGTCAGAACACTTTGAGAACACCTGGCGGGGGGGAGGGGGGGGTGCGGGCAGGAGAAATACCCTGGAAGGGTCCCTCACCCACCCAGTGGGGTTTACAGCTCATATTATAGACTAATGTGAATCTAGATAAACCGTAGCCCAAAATACCCACAAAAGTATGCGATCGGCAACGGTTGAGCACATTACCCTGGAAACGTAGCCAACTGTATAATGAACACAAACACAAGGAAGAAGCCATATCCCCCGCAGCTGGCACAGAGCCTGACACGTAGTAGGAGCACAGTAGGTATCTGCTGAATGAACAGAAATAAGTCCGTGCAAATACCTAATAAAATGTAATTGTAAAATCTGGCTTGTCCAGTTTGCTAGGAGTGTTAACATAGGAATGTAACCTTTTTCGGTATAATTACCTCGATCCTGTTAGGAGGCTCTGGTTCTGTTTTACATATCCTAACTAAGCGTTTGGGATATAAAATACAAACAAATGCAGTGGGTACCAAGGTTACACTTCGTTATAATGAAGAGACAAAGCTTCTAGGTCGCCCCACAGCAGAAAAACGGAACACACACCAAATCAAACTTCTGGGTAATTTATAGATTATAAAAATACTAAAATGCTGGGGCATCTGGGTGGCTCAGTCAGTTGAGCGTCTGACTTCAGCTCATGATCTCATGGTTCATCAGTTCGAGCCCCATGTTGGGCTCTGTGCTGACAGCTCGGAGCCTGGAACCTGCTTCTGGTTCTGTGTCTCCTCTCTCTCAAAAATAAATATTAAAAAAAAAATACTTAAATCTTTACTAACACTACAAGTTGTAGATAATAAC